TGAATGATTAAATCATAATGAATATATTGATGATTGTGAAAATAATATGTATTGTCAAGGGTATCTAGAAGACCTCTAAGATATACCCATATTAATGTTGATTTGAAAGGTATCTAGAAGAACTCTAAGATATACCCATATTAATGTTGATTTGAAAGGTATCTAGAAGAACTCTAAGATATACCCATATTAATGTTGATTTGAAAGGTATCTAGAAAAACTCTAAGATATACCCATATTAATGTTGATTTGAAAGGTATCTAGAAGAACTCTAAGATATACCCATATTAATGTTGATTTGAAAGGTATCTAGAAGAACTCTAAGATATACCTATTTAAGTTAGGCCTTGCGGGTATGAACCCCGGTGGCTAGGGTTAAAACGTATGTACGGGATCCAAGAACCAAACTTGAGTACCTACTCGTTTGAGGGTACCACCCACCCAACAGTGAACACTACGCTGTCGGTTTTTGGTTGGCCTTAAGTGAAGGTAAGTTAAAGATTTTCAAAACCCTTTTATCTTAAACTAGGCCTAGCTTAAGGATTATTTAGGAATATTTTATACTGGAATATAGTTTAATTATTTAAACTAGAATTCGTTTAAGGGTTGACAAATATTAAAGTGATTGGCCTTAGACTAAGAATAGTTTAAGGATATTGTTGAATATTGAATATTGAATATTGAATATTGAATATGAGTAAATATTGAATGATGAATATCGAATTGAATATTGCAATTATTATGAATGACTGGTGAACATTGAATGTGAATATAAATGTTGAATAATGCATGATGAATAATTTTTAATAATTATTGATTATCTGAACGTACTGAACATTATGTGCATGATATCAAATGATTTGATTATGAATTTAGATTCAGTTTATATGGATGTTCGATGCATTAGATATGCTTACTCAGCTTCAACGCTGAGCGTGTATTATGTTTTATTTGCTACACGCAGGTTAATGAAGTGACGTGATCCTGGAGGCAGACGGAGGCGAGATTGTCAGAATGGATGTGATGGTTTTGAATTAAGGAACATAAATAAATTATGTTTGTGATTATGATTGTTAAGCTTCCGCAATATTGAAAACTCTGTACTGTTTATATTATGAAAAATATTATTGTGATAAATAAAAGTGTTTGAAATGTTTTAAATTTTTACGATTACCAAGTTAATACTTTAATCTGAAAGGGGCTGCAGACCTGGACAGATTAGGGTGTTACAAATCATAAATTTGAACTCAACACAACCCAGATAAAAATAAATTCATCTCCAAAATAAAAAAAATTACATTTATTCCGTCTTTAACTATAAATATAAAGTTTTAGTTGTTTGATGACAAATAAAAATGACAAGTATACTGTATGTTACTCCCTCTGTCCCATTTTAAATTGTCCGTTTGCTTTTTTTTTTCGTTCCAAAATAAGTTGCATGTTACTTGTTATCGTAAACTTTTATGAGTAAAATACTTAAACTATCCCTAAAATAAGTCACTCCTCTCCACCTTATCTTCTCATTCATCATCACCCCTTATAAAATGTAATGACAATTTCAGAAATTCAACTCTATTTTTTATTTTTCTTAAATATTCTCAAAAGTCAAAACAGACAATTTAAAATGGGACGGAGGGAGTAATAGGTCTGGACATTTATCCCCCAAATCATGGGTAAATTTCACTCATGGTATACAAACTTTCATCATTATTTCAATTCGGTATATAAATTTTAATTCCTATCACAAAAAAGTAAAGAGTGGAGAAACAAGAGAAAAAAAAGAAAAGGGTCAAAATTATAAAATTTAAATTTTTAAAATTATAATTTAACCCAAATGACTTGAAGGCGATTTAGAAACCGTCTATTGGAGCACCGGTGAAAGAATGTTAAAAATTCATGTATTTTGTTATAGGAATTAAAATTTATATACCGAATGAAATAAAAATTTATAGGTAATTTACCCCCAAATCAGTGGTCATCTTTGATAGGGTTTGAGCATTGAAGGTCGAAGGCAGAAGTGATGTGGGAGCGCCACCATTTACCGGAAGAAATCCTGATCGAAATCCTGACAAGGCTCCCCGTCAGGTCCCTCGTACGCTTCACCGCCGTTTCCAAGTCGTGGTTCTTCCTCATCACCAGCCCCGCCTTGGTCTCCGCCCACCTCCGCCACTCCCGCTGCAATGATAATTCCGTCGGTAACCTCCTTCTCCTCCGTCATTTAGAAAACTCATCCATAAAGGAAAAGTATGAGATTCTCGAAGAGACTGATCACCAAACACTTAACCCGATCAGTTCTCCCGAGCTCCCCCCTGCATTTGCATGCGAGGATATTCGTGTGGTTGGCTGCTATAGCGGCGTCGTTTGCTTATCCAACGCTTGGTGTTGCGATTTGTGTTGTACGTATCTATGGAACCCCTGTATTCAGAAGCTTAAGCCCTTGTCGCCTCCTACTATTATTCGACCAGCTGGCAGTTTAAACTCCTTACTTGGATTTGGTGTTAATCCAGAGTGTGATGGTGATCTCAAGGTAGTCAGAGCTGTGTATCAAAGGAAAGGAGAGTATCTGCAAATGCCCGATGGCCCACCAGATGTTGAGATTTATTTACTCAGCACCGGGAAGTGGAGAACTATATCTGCTGTTGGGGTGAATCTTTATATGATCAATTTCGTCCTGTGGTGGTCTCAAACTTTTGTCCATGGAGCAGTACATTGGATTGGGCAGAAATGGGTGGACAATGTGAGGTCCAAGTGTTGTATAACAGTTTTCTCCATGGCTGATGAGGTTTTTAGTGAAATTATGCTGCCAAATGAATTAGCCAAATGGATTGCATTATACTTACATATTATGATGTTTGAAGAGTCTATTGCTGTTGCTAAGTATGCTACAAGGAATCATTGCATATTCTGTGACCTGTGGGTGATGAAAGAGTATGGAGTTGTGGAATCTTGGTGCAGGATATATCGTATAGAATTGGATGGATGGATGGATAGAATTGTTGGATTCAGGAAAAACGGTGACATCTTAATCTGTAGTGACAATCGCGAGCTTGTTTCCTACTGTCCGACTACTAAATTTTTTCATAAACTTGGAATTTATGGGACCAACCGCTCATTCTATGTTGGTAAATACTTGGAATCTCTTGTCCTGCTTCAAGAAAAAAGCTGTGAAGTTGATGTGCTATTCAAAGAAATGACAAGTGTGTCCATTTGAAGAGGAGGTTAGAAGATTTGGGTTGGTCGTTTGTTTAAAGGGTAAGTTCGTTCTTTAATTTAGAACATAAACACATTCTCCTTTTCCTTAAATTTTTCTTTGGCTTGTGAATATGTTATTTGTGGATATTGAGTTTACCCGTAGAAATAGTATGCTTATTTTGTTATTAAATCAAAATTCTATGGATCTCTTTTAGTACTAGCCATGCTGTTGTTTTTCAGTCACTTAGGTTGTGAGTGTAGGGGGGTATATAAAGCCTGTATGGATCACTAAATTCCTAGGTTGCATTAAGACATGTACCGATAACATAGATGAGAATGGGATGACAACTACAGTTCTCAAGATTTTAAGATTATAGGGAATGATACAACAACAAAAAAATTGATTTGATACTCCAAAAGTGAATTTCAAAATGTATAATAATGAAGGGTAATCTGGCCATTTAACCATATAGTGGATGGCAAGAGTGGAAATGTGAAGATTTTTTGGGGCATTCAAATATAGAAAGGGTGAAGATTAATCTTCATTATTACACAGTTAGAATCTCAAAAAATGCCACTACAATAGCATTAAAATAGCCAAAGTTCAAGGTGCAAAGTATACAAATATATAACTACCACGCACGAGAGCTTCACTCCCAAAATAAAAACAACGCGAATTCATATTTTAAATTTATATTTTGAGTAAAAGGTAATATCTCCACCCAGTGAAAAGCACCTTTAAGCCATACTCCGTGGTTAAATTATTTGGAGGCATATGGGATCGAAGCAAACTAGAGTATTTGCATTTCATATAATTAGTTATAGTGCATTATCGTCAACACACAAAAAAACATTGAGATCATATCAGAAACATCTTTAAATTTAACTATGATTAGATCAGACCAGATCACATCACATCAGACCTTAATAAAATTACATTAGAACTAATCAGATTAGACGAAGAAGAGAACAACTTCTGAAATATCCATAAAAAAGAAAACACGGAAGCAGTGAAGCACAACAGTGAAGCTGACTAGCCAAGACAGGAAGGAGAATGCAGTGGTGACAGAGAGGTTGCTTCCTTGTAGAGACATGGATTAATCTGTGATTGCTCATAACTATTTGTAATCATTCCATTATCCTTTCTCGTTGAATTTATTTCAGATGTAGATAGGGATGTTTATTGAGTAAACTCTGACCAGAATGTTTACTTGAATAAGAAGTATATAGAATTTTTATGCAACTTTATGCTGAAAAAACATTTGATATATGCAGAAAAAATCAGTGATGTGTGGCATAATTTAAAAAGAAACTGCATAGGAGACTTGTATCCTCCCGAACACATAGAAGTTAGGCCTCACTTGTTAGGCTTTAGGTTTTGAGGCACACACCTCAAACATCATTTGAGGGTTACATATATAGCAGTTTCTAAAAATAAGCCATTTTACTTTCAAAAGTATTTGTAAAGTATTTTGACACAATATGACTCGTATTTCTTATTACTCCAAAAGATATCACTTTTTACACTTCTGAAGCTTTCACTTTCAAAAGATTTATGATTCCCTTTGTTCTAGATTAGTGGAAAAAGAGATTAATGATATCACTTTTTACACTTTTGAAGCTTTAACAAGTAACAGCCAACTTTATTTTTTCTTGATTAAACAGTTCATTCTTGCTTCTCTGTTTTAATAGATTGCACACAATTTAAGTTTATGAAAGAACACATACATCTTTGAATGGGCATTATATATTTTTCTTTGCTCTGCACAAACACCTGTGACATTTTCTGAATTGGCTTTTGAACTTCATCTTGATCAATGATCTGCTTCTTGTTCCAAACAGGTTACCTTACGATAATGTGTCAAACAGGAGAAAGCTAATTATCATCTTCTTCCTCAAGAATACAGCTTGGTTTTAAAATAAAAAACAATGCCGATTGAGTATGGAGACTTGAGATTGGGTCTGCAAAGGATTCCGACGTGATAATGAATATATTATTTATTTGAAACATTTACCTGCGTGGCTATTGATTATTGCAGTGTATGACTTTGTATTTATTTAGTCTCAAGTAACTCATGCATTAATGATGGCTGCCCTTGTAGAGTGACAGTTTTAAGACTGCAAGACCAAAAAATAATAATAATTGTAGTCAAAATCATTAAATTGGTTTCTTGATAACACCAAGTCTTACATATAACTCATGCCATAATTGCATATTATCTCTCACTTGTGTAACTCTTATTGGAACTTACAAACTATAAATAACACATTGTTACTGTTAAACCTTGTCATTAGTTCAATGTTTCATCATCCACTGAGCCATGGGAGAACACGATAAAGAACTCGATCTCGGACTTGGACTCGGATTGGGGCGCTACGGGCCGGAGGAGGATCGATTGCCCAATGTTGGCATTTCTTTGGATCTTTGCCTTCCTCTTCACTCAAATGACCAAAGTGGGGAGGTTATATTTGAGAACAGCAAACCGTATGAGATCGATGAAGCAGAATGCGAGAATTCCTATGGCAGGAAAAAGTTGAGGTTAAATAAAGAGCAATCGGAATTACTTGAAGATTGTTTCAAACATCATACAACCCTTACCATGGTATCAACATAATACTTAATTAACCATATTTTTTTTTTATAATATCTTGTTTCATTTTTATTATGGTCATGTAAATTATCTCTACATTTTATTTCATATTAAAATGTATAATTAGAATATGCTTATAAAGAAATAGTGCAAGAACCTTTCTTTTCCTTGAAAATAAATAGAAAAATATACTCCCTCTATCTCAATATATTTGTCTAGTTTGACTTTTCGAGTCAAACACAATGAACTTTGAGCTTCAATTAAAACAAAAATGGTAATATATATCAGTATGAAAATGATTTTATTAGATAAGTCTTGTTGAGAACATTCAAAATTTTATTTTATTGTACTAATATACAATACAAATTGAAGGTAATTGAAGTTCAAAATATGTCCAATTCGATTCGAAATAGTCAAACTGGACAAAAATATTGGAATAGAGGTAGTAATAATTTTATCTTGAATTAGACGAATGTCGGACAAAATTTTTTTAATATGGAAACATGTATACTCTGGCTTCAATGCTTTGTTACATGCAAAATACAGTAAAATTTTTCTTCGTACATCTTAGTTTAAGAGCTTGGTTTTCTCATCTTTACATTAGACTAAAATGAACAAACTCTCTGTACATTTCGTGTTTGCAAATGTGTACGCTAAAGTAACATTTGACATATAAACATTAACAAATGCTTGCCCCCACTTACACACAATTGCAGGATCGCAAACTTGAACTTGCAAAAAAGTTGAATCTCAAGCCAAGACAAGTTGAAGTTTGGTTTCAAAACCGAAGAGCAAGGTGACTAACCTCCCTCATTTGCGTCAAATCCTCGTCCATTTTTTTTTCTTATGAAAAATTTAAATGTGATCGCATTTATACAGAACTAAACTGAAGCAAACGGAGGTCGATTGCAAGCTACTGAAAAAGCATTGCGAGAGTTTAAGCTACGAAAATGCACGGTTGAGAAGAGAGTTACATGAACTACATTCGAAGCACCCATTTCCAGATGGTCTTACCAAAACTAAGAAGACATTTGTAACTTGTCCATCATGCCAAAAAATGGCAGACCCCAGCAATGGTCAAAAGATCAAAACTGAATTGAAGGATTTGGAAGCATAAGACACGCCCTTAGTTCCACACAACCCTTAAAAGAAAGAAATATACACAAACACAAGGATTTTTACTTCTTTTGTAACATTCTTGTCCACAAAAATAGGGGACAAGTGAGCCGATTACAAGAAACCCAATCGGTTTCTTGGCCTGGGCAATAAAGCCTGTCTTTTTCTTCTTGTGTACCTTTTATTATGATACAAATACAATGATGCCAATATTAAGGCAGTTTATGTGTTACAACAATTGTACAGGAGGACTGTCCCAACCTAGTCTTTAGTAACCCACCTGCGGCCGCGTATTTGGAAACCACCATAAGTACAATCGCCGCTGCTGTCTCCACCACTTTCACTGGTGTACCCTGACTTTCGGCGTTGTTTCTTTTTCCTAGAGGGTGTTGTCCCACTATCACTTACACTTCCATTCAAAAGAGGATCATCTATCCCACGGATAACCCTCGGGGTTTGAGATGACGATGATGGTGTTGTTGTTGCCACACAACTGTCATCCTTCGCTCTCCTCCCTTTATCATGTTTCATGGTTTGAGAGATCTTATGTAACTTCTCATTGAACTTTGTGAATCCCTTCTCCATTGGTTCCACTGCGTGTGTTACAGTGAACTTTACATCCTTCACAATCTGAACCCAACCCAAACATTTGTCACAATGGAATGAAGGAAAGATACATAACGACTCTACGAGTATGATTGTTTTAAAATAAAAATATGGGAAATGGTCCAAAGTACTATAGACTTTGGCTAAAATTCCAAATATACTTTTTCCCATTACTAAGCTGGCATTAGGGATCATTTCCCCTAAAAATGTAATATCTCAAATATAAAACAAAGGCATCTCAATAAGAAGCATGTCGACTAAGATGTGTTTCTCTGGTTTAAGCTTAAACGATACTCCATCGGTCTGTAAAAGGGGTCCTGTCTTATCAAACATAATTAGTTCTTCATGTAATTTGTGAAAAAAAATACAAACAAGTTAAATATGTTAGGTTTAGGTTGACCAGCAAATAATTTATTGCCCACTCGGGGGATTTCACTCAGTAGGTCCTTGTTGTAAAATATTATGATTTTTAAGGGTTTTAAACTTTTAACTTGACCAAACATCTTTTTTTTGACATACGAAATTCTAAGCAATAGCAAAAGCTAACTAGATTAGCAATTACCACACCCAACCTTTCTATCAAAGAAACAAGAGGACATACTTACATGTTCACCAGCACCCATGACGACATCTCTAACGCTCTCTCTAATGGTCATGTTCCCTGTACCTTTAACATCAGGATGAGGCAGGCGCAGTTTAGTTGGACGCTCACTGTCTCTAACCTCTTCAGGGTCTATGGGGCAGTCAGCAGACAGGTAGTCTCCTAGTACTGAAACTGCCCCAGAAAAACGCTCGCCCATCAGCTGATATGGCTTAGCAGGAAAAACATACAGGTGGACCACTGAAGCAATGCCCATCTGTACTGGACAATATCACAAGCAAGTCAAACTTATATTAGCAGGAAAAACATAAAGATGGGTCTGTTTGGAGGCCAGAAAATACTCCGTACTACAGAAGGAAAATAAGTACTCCACAAGAAGCTAAGGGAAGACAATTTGATGGAGGGAAAAAAAGTTATTGGCTCAAACTCAATAAATTCATTTTAGATATTTGTTCAAACTATTTTTATTTATTTATTTATCTATTATATAAAGACTAAGAAAACTAGATATATGATTGTCTTTCAAAATATTAATCATGTTTCATTTTCCTAAGCATTTTCCAAGGTATATTCAAATAAATGAAAAATAGCTTTCCTTGGCATTTTTTTCCTTCTCCTAGCAGTTTCCGTGATCCAAACACTGGTGACCATCCAAAAAATGTATAGATGTCCAGCTGAGAACAATTACCTCAATACATATGATAAAATCCTGAATGCTTGATTGCAACTGTAAAGCTTGGGCGATTGGGCTTTTCAGAATGCCAAGGCTACACAAGAGGGCAATAGCCAACCCTTGCCACCAAGTCAAAAATACAATGGACTTGAATGTCAAAAATTTGTACAGCGGATTGATATGATATAACTCGAACTTTGTAATGGTATAGAACTGAATCAAACAATACAATGCCCATGACTGACTGAAATTTAAAACCACGGCCAAGTAAGGGTACCTGAAAAGGAGAAAAGAAAAACACAATCAACATGAAAACCACTATTAATATGCTCGTATTACTAAATACTACGTAGTAAGAAATAAGCTTTCCGTCGTCCGTACCCACAGTTCCACTTGAATTGTCCTTCGCCATAGACATGAAAAGCTTCAAGAATTACTGCTAGAATAGCAGTGAATGCTTTTATTATCATCTGCCAACAAGATTCATTTCTTCACCCATAATTTGCATAATTCAAGAAATAAATTGACATCTGCCAGTGAGGTATCATATCAAAGAGAGCAAACTTACATATTGAACAATCCCAAACTTGATAACTTCATACACCCATCTATCCAGTTTCCATGGCTTGAGAAAAAAATTAAATGGAAAGGGGTGCTTTACAATTCCCCTCTCATGGCCATCCTCCTCTAGTAGGGGAACCTTTGAACCTGTTTGACCTTCCCTTTCCATAAACTCTAAAGTTCTCTCTTCCCCACCTTTTGCATAATACATAATATGCAGAGTCCAGAGATTATAACAAGATAGTTAATCGGAGTTGGAAGCATGGACCAATAAACATTTCAAATCTACAAGCGAATATAACAAGAAGAATATACGAAACTTTATAGGCATTTGGAATGTTTTTCTTGTTATACATGCCATATCTCAACATTACACAACCATATACAGGGAATCTGGTGCCCAAATATTAGAGATGCATTATACTTTGCCAAACTGTAGCATTGGCGTTTATGAAATAAAACTTACAGAAGCAAATATAACAGGCTAACAGTTGTACCTAAACAAGCAACAAGATATCTTCCAAAGCAGTACATTGCGAAGGACTCATATCCATCACGTAATATCTCAAAATAGACACTGATTGCTGGATTCACCAGGGACACAAACTGGAGAAATATAAAACACAATAGTATACATATTAGATGAATGCTCTATCAAATAAAGGGAACGAGATGAATATATTAAACATATTTATCCAAATATCTTTAAGAGGGTTTAAGGTTTCATCATGATAGAGAAAATGATAGGAAAGTCAACACCTAATTAAATGTAATTCCCTTATCGGAAGAATTTCCAGCTGCAGCCATTTTGTGCGTTTGTGTGTGGATCTAGCACTTAATATAATTTTACAAAGGCAACTAAATAAACATATCTGAAAACATTTGGATGATGCTTAAAACCAATTCTAAGCAAGAAAACATACAAACATGTAAAATATATAGCAAATAACAGCACATCTATACTTCATACACTCTGTAACGAACTTGTTTATTAGCCCAATCACAGGTGATAAAGACTTCCCAAACAATAGCATCTACATCTTCTAACCAGACCTCAAGTTTTGTCAACATACTAAAAAAACATTAACACGGCAAGTTCCACTTAGAAATTCATTATTTTTTTTACAATCCATAGTTCCTTCTTAATATTTGCTTCGAGGGGTTATGCAATAAGAGCTGGAAATGAATCTAATCTTGATATAACGATAACAGCAACAACAAAAACAACAATGTTGTGAACAGAATCCAAATAAAGTCAAAATTGACTCACGGATTCGATAGCATAGCATGGCACCATCAATATCACTCCAATCAAAAACTTCTGCTCCTGCCAACACAAACCAAACACAAAACGTTTACATTCAAAACCAATACAATACAAGCAGTGTATATATAACTTCCTAAAATACTGCATTTTAGGAAAAAAAACTAAAATAAGAAAAAAGAGAAAGAAAGGACCTCAGGATTCTTGTAAGCAGAGAGGTGTTCGAGCAGGAGATGAACAGAAAGGGCGAGAGAGAGAAGCGTGAAGAACCCTCCGATCAGAGTTGCCCATAAAGGCGGCGAGTAGCTGCTCAGCAAGCTGCGCTTCACCCAATCCAAGGTCCAGTGCTCCGATGAAGATGGCACTATGGAGATCAACCACCGCATCAGTGAAGAATTAGGGCTTTTTCCCCCTTCTATTTCGCTAAAGATTGATTAAGAAGACGGAGACGATGATCTGGGTGGGAAACTTGGAATTCAACTCCAACAACTTCCATTAAAAAATGGGGAAAAATGCAAAAATAAGGAAAAAGGAAAATGGGCATTTAGAAGAGAACTTTTGTCTCTGGCGACTGGGAAGTCCAACAACAACTTTAGATTTTAGAACCTAAGAGCGTCTAGTAATTATGGTTACTACTCCCTCCGTCAGGAAATATTCTTCTCACTTTCCTTTTTGGTTTGTCCCGAAATATTCTTCTCATTTCCTTTTATAGTATACTATTTAAGGATAAATATCAATAATACACTTCTATTTTATCACAAATATACTTTTTTAGTACTTTTTTAATAATAAAAGAGATTTAAAAGTTTATAGTATGTGCATTTTTGAAAATTTTGCATTTTTTTTACTATTCCTTAATAAGCGTGCCAAGTCAACACGGGAAGAATATTTCCGGACGGAGGGAGTAGTATTTTAACATATGCCATATGGTTGTAAATAAATCGAATATTTTTAGTTCGGTTTGTGATTCGTATTCGTATAAAGTGATTCATATTCGATTTTTTCAAATCTGAATACAAATACGAATTTGAATAAATATTCGAGTCCTTATCGAATACGAATATGAATCAAGGGTATTCGATTCGTGAGTTTGAAAAATATATTCGGAATATGAATTTAATTATACAAATAATATATATATATATATATATATATATATATATATATATATATATATATATATATATATATATATATATATATATATATATATATAGCTAATCATTAGATTAAATGGTTATAAAATATTTTAAAATCTAAATAAATTGAATATTTTTAAACGAACTGAATATATTTAAACGAATCGAATTTTTAAACGAACCGAATATGTTCTATATATTAAACGAACCGAATATGAATCTTAAAAAATATTCGAACTGAATTCAAATTCAAACATCACTCTATCTTAACGAATACGAATATTATTCATGAATATTCGATTCGATTCGGTTCGTTTACAACCCTAATGCCACGCAGGAGATCGAACAAAATTTGTGTCAATTATAAAAAAAATTCAATTCTTTAAGATTATATTCTTTTGGACTCTAACTTTTAGGATATGTTTGGTTAAAAGAAAATTATTTTTTTAGAAAATTCTAACTCTACTTTTTCCAGGTTAGGTTGCATAAGTGGTAGGAAATCATTTTCTTTGTAAAAATACTTTCTCTAAGCAGATAAAATGACTTATGTTTTATATTGAATGAAAACTCATTTTTATTCAATACTCAAATATTTTGATTCTTCGATCGAGTTCATTTCCCCCTCATTCTAGAGATTGAGGAACTATAAAAAAGATTTGAAATTGATCATGTATTAAAAAATAAAGTATGCCCCCTAAAATATTTAAAACTATTTCAAAATATCTTTGTTTTTCATTCAAATATCAACAATGTTTAAATAAAATATGTGATTTGAATCTATGCCCCTAATTTTTCTTCCAACTCTTTCTAGTTTTTCCCAATTTCATCCTTCTAACTTTTTCCGACTTTTTCAAATTTCTTTATACTCTTTCTAGTTTCATCTAACATCTCTCGGTTCCTTTCAATAGTGATTTGAAAATTATTTTACTGTATTTTTCATAATAATAATAATAATAATAATAATAATAATAATAATAATAATACTATTATCAGAATGGTTCTTGAGCCACTGGTTCCAAGTGGGAGGACTGCGGGTAATCTAATTAAAGCTAGTGGCAACGATAGCCACCCAAAGTAAGTGGATGCAGAACCCCTCCAAATTATTATTATTATTATTATTATTATTATTATTATTATTGTTATTGTTATTGTTATTGTTATTGTTATTGTTATTGTTATTGTTATTGTTATTGTTATTATTATTACTACTACTACTATTAAAACAAATGTACGAAACTAGAAATTTTTTACATGTAAATGCATATATAATGAATAAACAAAAACACTTCTTATCCAAATTTCTAATATAAGACCTCTCAAATAGGCACCAAGATGACTTTTTATCCATATTTGTCTTTTTAAACTTTCGTTCGATCAGTTACTTTTTCTTGTTAAAAATTTAGTTTAATTATTTTTCTTGTCTTATTTTAATGATAATTTTTTAATCTGAAAAAAGAAATGTGTATAATATTTTTTAATCAGTATTTCCTTCTCTCTATAGAAGGAAAGGAACATCTTATTAATGAAACATTATTTTTAATTAGGTGACTTTAATGGAAAAATTTAAACATCAATTTTTAAAGCACATTAGTTTTAGTTTTATATAATAAATATAAAATTAAATTCTTTGAAAATGTTCAATAAATATTAATTATTATATTCTTATCATTCTAAAAGAAATTTATCCGAATATTTAAATTTTTGGAAGTTCCAAAAAAACCTTATCAATATACCTTATGGATCCATTTCTGCTTTCCAATAAGAGAATTTTGTATCTTTTTCTTTTTTATTTCTTTTTACTATTTTTCTTTTTTATTTCTTTATTATATTTTTTATTTTATTTATTGAACATACAAAAAATAATTTGTTTATTCTGTAAAATATAAAACCAAAAATGTTAAACTTTAGATAGAGAAAGTATTTTTTTATTTCAAATACAAATAAATTTAAATTTTAAAGCATTATAAAGAATAATTTAAAAAAGAAGTTTAAAAATGATAACAGGCGCTGATGCCCATGTGGATTGGAAAATTGGTATCAATGTCCGATTTTTGACGTAAAATGAACAAAAAATAGTATGAACCGAAGTGGTGCGTGTGCAACCTTTTGAAATGATAAACATTTTTTTAAAACGAATTTTGAAAACAAATGGTGTATTTATACTTAATTTTCAATCCACACGAAGACTATTTTAATATATTCTATTTAAAAATACATGTTATCATTTGGTACTCTAAACTATAAATATATGAATATGAAGATTATATTTTTTCAAATCTCAGTTTTTACTATAACTAGTATCACACCCGTGCGTTGCACGAGTCATTTTTGTGTTATTAAATTCAAATCATTTTTCAATGATATGCAATAGAATATAGAGATTATTTTATTTTAAGGTAAAAAACATAACTGCTTTACAACTTTTGAAAAACTTTTTTATAGACTACATTATTTGTACAATTTGTGGGAATATTGTCTTCAGTGCATATCACAATCTTCAACCCACTACGATTAGTTACTCCTGAAACTGTAACATAGAGTTGTCCATGACTAAACACAGGTTTTCGTAACAATAGTCCAACATGTTTTAAAGATTGTCTCTGGCTTTTGTTAATCGTCGTTGCGTACGAAGTAACTATAAGGAATTGTCTTTTTTGAAACTTGAATGGAATTCTTGTATCGGACGGTGTTAATGATAGTTTTAGAATAACAACTTCTTCACCCATGTGGCTTAGCTTCCTGCTGAGTGATTAGCCAACCGGGTTACTATCAACCGTGTACCATTACATAAATCCATTGAATGATCAATATTATTCAACAACATAATAGGCGTGCCTACCGTTAACTCACAATATTTTAACTTACCTTTTTTAATTATTTCTAATTTATATTAATCACGTTTAGTATTATAACTTACCTTTTGTAATTATTTCCAATTTATATTACTCACGTTCAGTATTATAACTTACCTTTTTTAATTATTTCTAATTTATATTAATCACGTTCAGTATTATAACTTACCTTTAATAATTATTTCCAATTTATATTACTCACGTTCAGTATTATAATTTACCTTTTTTAATTATTTCCAATTTATATTACTCACGTTCAGTAAACTTACCTTTTTTTTAATTATTTCCAATTATTTTTTATGCGAAATTGGGTGTGTAAATGGTATAACTTATCTTTTTTAATTATTATTAATTTTTTTTGCAAAATTAGGTGTATAAATGTATAACTTACCTTTTGTAATTATTTCCAATTGGGTGTATAAAGATGACAGTTACTTACGGTATTAAAATACTGTGTGATAAAAAAAGGAACAAATTCCGAACACCCCTACACAAAAAAAAGAGGTTTAAATTAATGTACGAAAGGAACTGTATGGAGTGTACAAAAAAAGGGTTAAAATAATGTACGAAATTGTACAATTAGTACACTCCATACGAACTGATGAATATCGTGTAATAAAAAAGGAACTATATATATTTATAGCTTTTAAATCATTTTTTTAGATTAATAATAATAATAATTTTTTAAATTAATAATATCACGTTTTTAAAAGGCATTGTGTGTGAAACTAATATTAATTTTAACTTCATAATAATTAACTTACCTTTCCGCCATTTTAACTTATCTTTCTTTAATTATTATGGTTAATACCGTGTGATAAAAAAAGAACTGTATTTATAGCTTTTAAACCATTTTTTAGATTAATAATAATAATTATTTTTAGATTAATAATATGACATTTTAAAGGCATTATATGTTAAAAGTAATATTAATTTTCACTTCACAATAATTAACTTACCTCTTCGCCATTTTAACTTACCTTTCTTTAATTATTATGGTTAATACCGTGTGATAAAAAAAGAACTGTATTTGTAGCTTTTAAACCATTTTTTTAGATTAATAGTAAAAATTATTTTTAGATTAATAATATCACGTTTTCAAAGGCATTTTGTGTAAAAACTAATTAGGAATTTAACTTCATAATAATTAACTTACCTTTCTGCAATTTTAACTTACCTTTCTTTAATTATTATAAATATCATAATTATAATAATAATTATTATATTTTTGGTAACTTACCATTTTAAGTGAACACTTGCCATTTGTAAATGTAATAACGCATGAGCGGGAAAACTAATAATTTTAACTTCATAATAATTAACTTACCTTTCCGCCATTTTAATTTACCTTTCTTTAATTATTATAAATATCATAATTATAATAATTATTATTACATTTTCGGCAACTTACCATTTTAAGTGAACAATTGTCATTTGTAATTGTAATAACGCATGGGCAGGAAAATCATATGTGGACTCTATGTCTTTTTAAATAAAGTATGAATATCTTGTCTATGAAAAATTGTGTTCCAATTATATTTCACTCAAAAGAATTTTAATATCATTGTTTTATTTATATAAAACAATGATTAGTTTCTTCTTTAGTCATGATTAGTTTCTTCTTTATGAATAATTCATTTAATTTTTATTGAAAACTATAACTTTCATTTCATTTATATAATTTTCAATAAGTTCAAAAGTCCATGATTTTTTTAATATAAATTATATAATACGGAGTATTAACTTTTAAACTCATCAAATTTAAAAGTTTATCATAAATAATTTTTTCATAAATGATGAATGAGATTTTAAAGCATGTCATATAATTTATTCTTATTCCATGCTATTTAAAATTTGGATGACACATGTCAACATTTTAGAGACTTGAGTCTCAAATATTATAGTAAAAGATTAGAAACTACCAGTTTCTTCAAAAATGATGTTCAAGTCACAAGTTCATGTTGGCCTCACATTGTCTACCACCAATATCTGCTAGGCCAGTTACCTGTCCTAGTCTGTCAAAGTTCATGTTGGCCCCGCTGGCAATAACAACTATGTTTTGATCCTTCTGGTTGTAATGTTTGCAGTAGGCTTCTGCACCAGCTAGAGCAAGTGCACCTGCTGGCTCTAGAATGCTCCTTCTCTCCTCAAACATGTCCTTTATTGAGGCACAAATGGCGTCCCGGGTAACCAAGACAACCCCGTCTATCAGATGCCTGCATAGACGAAATGTTTCTTCCCCGACCACTTTAACAGCCACGCCATCTGCAAAACCCCCGACTCGATCCAGCATTATTCTACGACCATGATGCAAAGACAAAGCCATGGCATTTGCGTTGTTTGGCTCAACTCCAATTATCTTCACCTCCGGATTCACCATCTTAACGTAGGCGGAGATGCCTGCAATGAGCCCACCCCCGCCAACGGGCACAAATATGGCATCTATGCCACATTTTGCCTGGCTCATGATTTCCCTCCCAACTGTGCCCTGTCCCATGATTACATGAGGGTGATCAAATGGAGGGACAAATGTTAGTCCTTCCTCTTGGGCCCTCTTTTTGGCATATGCTTGTGCTTCATCATATGTGTCCCCAACCCGGACAACGGTTGCCCCTAGTCTTTCTACTGATTCCCACTGCTCACACATTTCAAAAAAAAAAAAAGATCATTTGGTTAGAGAATAACTAACCAAACAAGAAGAGAAGATTCAATAACACTGAACCTTGATCTCTGGTGTAGTAACGGGCATCACGATTAAAGCGGTGCAACCGAGTTTCTTTGCAGCTAACGCAACGCCTTGAGCGTGATTGCCAGCAGATGAACATATGACTCCTCTGTCCAGAAGCTCCTTTGGGAGTCTGGCCATCATATTATATGCTCCTCGGAGTTTGAATGAGAAGACCTGCCATTAATTATTGAAGCCAGGAACATACATACTCAATCCGATTTGTCTGGTAATGAATTCATACAACATTTTTAGAACAAGGGTGATGAATTTTATTTGGGTTTTTAGCTAGAGCAGTGGACATTAAATTAAAAAGGACATACAGCAGGTTGAAGATCCTCCCGTTTGATCCAGATGTTGTTCCCCAGTTTCCGGGAGAGATTGGTGGCCAACTGCAGAGGGGACTCAAACGCCACATCGTAAACCTTAGCAGACAAAATTCCAGTCAAATACTCGATGCCGCTGGGGCCAAGGGAGCCATTCTCGCCGGGGGAAGGCAGTTTCGGCAGAACGCATCCCGGCTCAGATGTGAGGGAGCTCGGAGAAACTAACGGCAGTTCATGAGAAGCCGCGGCTCTGGAGACCGCGGCGGAGATTGAAGAAGAAGAAGCTCGGGGAGCTGTTCTCCTGACGCCGGCGGCGGAGGACTTGACGGTGTAATTGAACGTCGGCGGGGTAAAGATACTGCAATGGAAATGGGGCGATTGAGTATGGGGAAAACGAAGAGCTTCCATTGGCAGGGAGAGAGTTTTTGGGAGGACGGTGGGTTCTTCTTCTCCCTGCGCAAGAAGCCAATTTTATACGAGTATTCCTTCAAGAAAAATGTATGGACATTCCATTTTTAGCTTTTCTTAATTAAGTTTTATACGAGTATTCCTTCACAGAAAATGTATGGACATTCCATTGGACCTCGTAAGTATAATTGACTTTGAAGTCAAAAGTTTTGACTTTATACTTACGAGTGCAATTGACGTAGGTGGTTAATTAGTTTGAATCGGGACTTGGCGGGGGTTTACTGGGGTTAGGAGGTAGGAATCATCAATTTTATAAACGGAGCTCCGTAGGGGGCAGTGGCTTCAAGTGGCCACGGAACCGAGCTCATCCTGAGGGGTAGGAATCATCAATTTTATGAACGAAACTCCGTAGGGTGCAGTGGCTTCCGTGGCCACTGGAATCCAGTGGCTATGGAACCGGGCTCATCCTTTATCCTTTATATATATAAATGAGACTCCAAGCTCTAAGGAGATGACATGTGGCATTACTAGGAGCTGACATGTGGCATTACTAAAAGCTAACATGTGTCATTACTTATGTGGCTTTTTTATGCAATCCAATTTATGAACTAAATAAAAAGAAAAAAAATTATTTTTATGTAGCCATTTCTAACACCTAATATGTGACATAATTTTTCATATGGAAAATATAAAATTAAAATTTGGTAAGAAATATTTGATGAAATATAAATATGGGGAAAAAATTCCTTTTTATAATAATATTCTTTCTAAATTCTATATTTTTTCTCTTTGTTTATAACAAATTTTTAGAACAAAATATATAATACTCTCTTCACCTATAAATAAATTTTATAACTATTTATTATACCTTTACTTGAAATTACTTTTTCAATTAAATTTATTTAAATATTGAAACCTAATAAATAAATTGCTTTCTTCACCAATAAATAACTTTAATATTTATTTTGACAGCTAATAGTCTAATATGCCACTTAATTAAAAATATAAAAAATGTGAAATCAATATTTTGGTATGAAATCTTTGAATAAATTTAAGTATGCAAATGAAAAATTCGTTTTAATGATAATATCCTTTCCCAATTCAAAACTTTTTACTCTCTTCTTTTATAATAAAATTTTCAACCAATAGATAATATCGTTTTTAACATATAAATCAATTTGATACAAGTTTTTGTTTATTTTATGTTAAAACGAAGTTAGTTTTGATTTGATTCATTGAAATATTGATGTAAAATTTAAAAACGCAATATATTTTAAAATTTACATCAAATCCTTTATATATATAAATGAGACTCCAAGCTCTAAGAAGATGACACGTGGCATTGCTAGGAGCTAACATGTGGCATTACTAAGAGCTAACATGTGTCATTACTTATGTGACTTTTTTATGCAATGCAATTTATGAATTGAATAAAAAGAAAAGAAAATTATTTTTATGTAGCCATTTCTAACACCTAATATGTGACACAATTTTTCATATGGAAAATACAAAATTAAAATTTGGTAAGAAATATTTGATTAAATATAAATATGGGGAAAAAATTCCTTTTTATAATAATATTCTTTCTAAATTCTATATTTTTTCTCTTTGTTTATAACAAATTTTTAGAACAAAATATAAAATACTCTCTTCACCTATAAATAAATTTTATAACTATTTATTATACCTATACTTGAAATTAGTTTTTCGATTAAATTTATTTAAATATTGAAACCTAATAAATAAATTGCTTTCTTCACCAATAAATAACTTTAATATTTATTTTGACAGCTAATAGTCTAATATGCCACTTAATTAAAAATATAAAAAATGTGAAATCAATATTTTGGTGTGAAATCTTTGAATGAATTTAAGTATGCAAATGAAAAATTCGTTTAATGATAATATCCTTTCTAATAATAAAATTTTACTCTCTTCTTTTATAATAAAATTTTCAACCAATAGATAAGATCGTTTTTAACATATAAATCAATTTGATACAAGTTTTTGTTTATGATATGTTAAAACGAAGTTAGTTTTGATTTGATTCATTGAAATACTGATTTAAAATTTAACACACAATATATTTTAAAATTTACATCAAAAGATATATAGAATAATAGATGACTAAACTATAA